AGTGTTCATGTGGGCTTCATTGGGTTCTTTGGCATAGTTTATCTTCGTTTTGTTGGAGTCTGGAACTGAGTATCTGTTTTCTTCATTTCCCTCTGGTTCCTGTACTAATTTATTACTGGGGAGAAACTGTTTTCCCTCTTTTTTCTGTCTTCCCGTCATTGCCCTTGCTATTGTTACTGTCCCTATACTGTGTGTAATTCAGTATCATCTAGCTTGTAATAATAACAATGGTGATATCTAGAATGGAAGGGTGAGAGGAGAGAGAAAGTAAAGAAGGTAAAGAAAAAGAGAAAAACAAACAATTGAAAAAACAAACAAACAATAACAAAAAAATAGTGCCAAAGAAATAAACAGGGAGAGATAGTGTATTAATCAATGGTAAGCTAAACAGGCATTAGAGAGACAGAGAGAGGATTAAAAAAAAAAATCCCCGAGTTCAAATGCAATAATGTTTCAGTCTTAATAATTTTGGTGTTAGTTCTTCAGCCTCCAATCCTGGAGATAGTGTCTCAGAAGTAGTTCAGTCATTGTCTCACAAAGGGGAAAAAAAACAAAAAACAAAACAAACAGACAAACAGAAAAGACAAACAAAAAACCAAAAAACAAAAACAGAACAAAATTCCCAAGTTCAAATAGAATTTGAATCCTTCAGCTTCCAATTCTAGTTCTGTCATTGTCTCATCAAAGGGAGAGAAAAAAAGAAAAAAAAAACAGTGTCTGGAGACAGTTCTGTGAATGTCTATCTGAGGCTGCGGCTCACCTGCCCACTGCTGTCAGCCAGCTGTTGATGGAGGCTTTATTGATTGCAGATCTCAGTAGTGAGCTTAACACTCACCTAGCCCTGCAGGCTTTGTTTATTTAGAGTTCTCCTGGGTGCGACCACCACTGTTACAAGCCTTCCCTTCTGCAGTCACACTGGGGGAGGTGGCGCTACACCCACCTTCTCTGGCCAGTTTGTTTATTTACAGATTGTGTGGGACCTGCCCCTTCCCCACTCTCCACTGGAACCCTCCTCACAACACTGTTACAAGCTTTCCCGCTCCAAGGTTGCTGGGCAGGGGACGCCACTCCTGCCTTCTCTGGCCAGCTTGTTTATTTACAGTTCTGTGAAGGATTGCCCCTACCCCACTCTTTGGAGCTCAGGGCGCCCCACCCTCTTTGCTGCCTGTCTTTTTGTTGTTGTTGCTTATTATTCAGGTTTTTTTTCTCTTTTTTCCCCTGGGTGGGGGTCAGTCTGTCCAGGGGGGCTATGCTGATCTGGCCCAGGGTTGTTTGTGGGAGTACTGCATGCCACTTAGCTCACCTGGTCATCTGTGTCTCTCAAGCCGGTAGGAGCTGGCGTCTGGCAGCATGGGAGCCCTCCTGGTTTCTCTATTTAACATGGAGTGGGGATGCTATGCGCGGGCTGGGGGTGTGGCAGTGTTGGAGTTTTACCTCTTCTTGGTGGTTTTTCTTGCAAGGTGTATCTCCAGCGTCTTGCCAAGATTTTACTTTAGGAACCACGCTTTGTGCTTCCTCCCTCTAGTCGCCATCTTGGAATCTCTCTAAAGGAATAAATCATTAAAGGAAGTTTAGAAAACAGGATAAAATCATATTTCTACCATGTTGTGCAAATATCCTTTTTAATTCTATACTAACCTTTAAAAGATTATTGACTTTAGTATAGTTAGGATGATAATACTCATATAATTTTGTATCCAGGTTGTCACAAGCATTTCTGTATTGTTGATAGCTGTTGATGATACCATTTTTTTTTCTTTTTGGCAGCATTAGCGTTTGAACTCAGGGCCTCATGCTTGCTAGGCAGACACTATACCATCTGAGGCAGAACCTCAAGTTCATCTGTCAGTACAAGCAGCACAACTTTATGCTTGGCAACTTTTTTTTTTCTCATTAATAATTTTTATATGATCAAATGTAACAATGGAAACATATATTCATCTCCTATTGCTTGTATAACAAAGTATCACTAATTTTGTGGTTTATTAAAGCAACACAAATGTAATATTATCTGACAGTTCAAAATGTCTGAAATGGGTCCTAGTGATCTCAAATTAAAGTGTTGACAGGGTTGTCTTCCTTTCTGGAGGCTCAAGGGGAGAATCTGTTTTCTTGCCCAGTCCAACTTCCAGATGCCAACTACACTCCTTGGTTCATGGCCTTTCCCTTTTTTTCCCATCTTCACAGCCAGCAACAATGGCAAGCCAGGCGAGGTAATGCATGCCTGTAATCCCAGCATTCAAGAAACTGAGGCAGGATGATCATGAGTTCTAGGCCACCCTAGCTATATAGCAAGACCTTGTCTTAAAAAAATAAAATAAGCCACCCACTCTCTCAATCCCCCACCCCGACAATAATGAGGCTGCATTAAAGAGACACATGAGCCGGTTGAAGGAACTCACTGTGGTCAAAACCTGGAACTATTTAAGCAACAAAACGAAATAATATTGGTGCAGATGTGGAAATTCTGTGTTATCTTAGCAATTTTTATGTAAAGCTAAACATATTCTAAAATGAAAAGTTTATTAAAAACTGCACAACAGGGGTTTTGCACGTGGGTCAGTGGTAGGGTGCTTGCCTTAGCATGTTCGAGGCCCTGGGTTTGATTCCTAGCATCACAAAAAACCAAACCAAAACAAAACCTAATGAAAAAAATCAACAATGGAAAAAAGCACCGCAGACAGTGACATGCTTTAACTGAAAGAAAGAACAAAAAGAACAAGAGAGAGAGAGAGAAAGGAAGGAAGGAAGAAAGGAAGGAAGGCTGTGGAAGGCCCACATGCATGCCCACCTGGTCTGTGCTGAAGGTACTGGAGTGGTGCCACAGGGAGGGCTGGTGACCTTTCCAACAAATGGCCCCAGAGCAACTGGACATCCACCTCTGAAAGGACACACATAAAACAGTCAGGGTGATTATCAGGAGGTTGGGGCGGGGGTGGGCGAAGGGAACCAAGCAGCTGGTTTATGGGGTGAGAAAGTGACTTTCTCTAGATACCTTGGTCCTTTGGCTTTTCTAGGTAAGAGAGGTAAAGGCAGCACCTGCTCTCTTCTCACCACCCTACTCCCCACCACACTCCTCAGAGTGTGAAGATCCAGGTCACCTGTCACCTTCTGGAAGCCACCATGAGGGCTCTGATGACTTTTGGGTCTTCTTGGAGCTCCACTCTCACAGCACACACACCTTCTTTTGGCCTGATATGGATTTCACAGTTAGCTGGGAAGTGATTTGAGGATGCGTCTGAAACTCTGTAGCAGTTTAATTTTTTTCCTAGGCATGTTTCTTTATAGCACTTACTGACATTTGGGCTCGGATTACATCTTTATAATTTTTTTTTCACTAGAAACCTGATGTCTATTTCTTTGTGTTTCTTTTATGTTCCCCAGCAATGTTATATAGCTTCTGGCTTACCTGGGCCTTATCCATTCCCAGTTATAGCTTCATAAATATTTATATTTGATCATTGTTGTGAGTAGTATAACTGCTTAAATTATGTCATTTCTTATAGGCATTTGATACAGGTCAGGCTATTGACTTGAATATTTTTCTCTTCTATGTGACCTTAAAAAATGAATTCTATGAGAGTTTTATTGGAGGAAGTGGGAGTAACTATTTAAGCCTGTCCAGATATGCTACAAATGATGGTATTGTTGATAGCTTCTTTCTCAATACTGACAAATCTTTTTGCCATGGCCTAAACTGGTAATGGCAACAGTGGCCATTCTGGTGTGTGTGTGTGTGTGTGTGTGTGTGTGTGTGTATATATATATATGTGTATGTGTGTGTACATATGTATATATGTGTATGTGTATGTGTGTATACATGTGTATGTGCATATATGTGTGTGTATGTGCGTATATATGTGTGTGTATGTGTATGTGTGTATGTTTGTGTGTGTGTGTGTGTGTGGTATTCTACAACCTCTTCATGCTCTGTAGATAAGCATAAATTTTCACAGTAAGTAAAGATCAATATCATCACTTTTAGTGGCTCAGTTCTATCCTACAGTATGGCTGTCACTTTACCACCCAGAGAGAGGGATGCTGTGGCACTATCTCCACTTTGTCATTCAGTCAGGGGTCCACCAGGGACCTTTGGGGATGGTGTCCCCCAGCCTTGAAGGAGGCCTTGGATGAGCGTTAGACTTAGAATGAGATCTCCCTTCTTGTTTAGGCTAGCTTTCTTGTTTATTCATTTCACACATAGCTGTCAGGCATCTACCTTGGTGCTGAGGATAAAAAATGCAGTCAGAGGGTTGGGGGTGGGACTCATGTTGGAACACTTGGCCTAGCATGTGGGAGGCCCTGGGTTCAATCCTTACCATAAAAAAATGTCCAATGAGAAATGGAGCCTATTAGCTGGTTTTCTGGACCTCAGTGTTTCCTTGTTTTTTTTTTTGTCACTGGGGTTTGAACTCATGGCTTCACACTTGCAAGGTAGGCACTCTTACTGCTTGAGTCACTCCACCAGCCCTTTTTTGTGATGGGTTTTTTCATGGTAGGGTTTTGAGAACTATTTGCCCAGGGCTGGCTTGGAACCACAATCCTCCTGATCTCTGCCTCCTGAGTCAGTGTTTGCATTTGTAAGATGAAGCCACTCACAGGAACGTGTGCCACCCTGTGTGCCTCCTTGTTCAATATGTAGTAAACAAGATGGAGAATCTGAAGGTGGAGTGAGAGAAGGACCTTAGCAATTGTCACTGGACAGATGAAGAATAGCAGAGGAAGGGAAATGGCTTGTCCAAGGTCACACAGTGATCACATACCCAAGCCTGGCCTAGCAGGTCTTGAACTTGGATATGCAGATCCCCACCTACCTTAAGGATCAGTTTTAGGCTCAAGGCTCAGGTTTGGGGGCTCAGGCCACCCATATTGTTTGAGATGCTAGAAGGGCCAAACCCAGCAGCTCTGTCCCCTTCCCTGCTCCTGCAGCCGGTCAGACCTAAGCTGGTGGGGGGGGTTGGAGAGAGATCCCAGTCATTGATCCGTATCTCCCTCCACAGCAGGGCACCTCTCCTCTGCACCTTGCTGTGAGGCACAACTTCCCTGCCCTGGTCCAGCTCCTCATTGATGCCCACAGTGACCCAGATGCCATGGACGGTGTAAGTGACTGCAGAAGCCACGCAGGCCCCAGGGGGCCTCTGGGCAGCCTCCCAGGCTGACAGAACTGGACCACAGTTTCCCAGCATGCCCCAGAGTTGAGGGGCTCCCTTTTTAGCTCTTAAAAAGTGGTTTGATGGCCAAGTGGTAGAGCGCCTGCCTTCCAAGCACAAAACCCTGAGTTCAAACTCCAGTACCACCACCAAAAAAAAAAAAAAGGTTGTTTGAATATTTGTTGAAGGTACATTATTTGAATATTATTTTGGTTGCTTCTGAGTTTTTGCCATGAGAGGTGTAACACTGCAGTAAACATCTTCCTACCTTCTAACTTCTACTTTCATTGATTTTCTTTTTGCCTTAGAGAAAATCCCCAGGACAGGAGTGGCAGGGGTGAGGGCATTCCTGTGTAACATTCCTGAGTCACAAAGTTGTGATCAATATGGAACACTTTGAAGTCCTTGTCCCCACAGTCCGCCCCGACCATGTCATACTCAGTGCCAGGGGGAAGCAGTTTGGCAGAACATATCCTGGGCCTTTGAAATGATTGCACTTGCACTTCTGGAAGCAAAGCCTCCAGAAATATATGAAAGCTCAGCAGAGAGGTCTTTGCTTGAGGGGTGGACTGTGGCTCAGTGGTACAGCACATGCTTAGCAGGTGTGAGGCCCTTGGTTCCATCCCCTGTGCCACCCTCTATTCATTACGGTATTATTAGCCCTCCATGTGAAAACGGCGCAGTACTTAATGACACAGAAGTGATTAGGTAAGCCATGGTACAGAGATAAACAGGCTGTCACAGAGTTAGCAAAATGAGTGTTTATCAGAGTTTATAATATGTGAAAAGCATTATGTTAGGTGAAAAATAAGGCTGAAAGTATAAATGCAGGATGATATCAAACATATAAAAAGAAATAGACTAGGATCATTAAGGGGGTTGATAGAAGCCAGGGCCAGGCACCAGTGGCTCACACCTGTAATCCTAGCCTCAGGAGGCAGAGATCAGGAGGATCACGGTTTGAAGCCAACCCAAGCAAATAGTTCATGAGACCCTATCTCAAAAAACCCTTTACAAAAATAGGGCTAGTGGAGTGGCTCAAGGTGAAGGCCCTGAGTTCAAGCCCCTGTACCACAAAAATTAAAAAGGGGAGGGGTGTTGATAGGACGGTGTGCTAATGAGTGGGCTTTTTTCCTTCTTTCTGCTTTGTTTGTATCGAGTTTTCTTTGGTGAGGGTTACATTTATGACTGAACTCAGCTTGCTCCCTGCCCAACACAATAACTTTTTTCTTGGATAGCACTGGGATTTGAATTTGGGGATCTACACTTGCTAGGCAGGTGCTCTATTGCTTGAGCTACGCCACTAGCCCTTTTTGCTTTAGCTGTTTTTCAGGTAGGGTCTTTCATTTTTGCCTGGGGCCACCCTGGCCTGTAATCTTCCCATCTATGCCTCCTGTGTAGCTGGGAGCACAGTGCACACCACCATGCCTGGCGTGTTTGTAGAGATGGGGGTCTCGCTAACCTCCTCCTCCCCCATGCCCTGGGCTGACCTCAAACCTCCATCTTCCCCTATCTCCGCTTCCTGAGTACCTGGGATTAGAGGGAGAGCCACCATACCCAACCCATAACTTCTTATAGACTCTTTATTCAGGCCCAGTTGGGAGGGCCTCACTTGGTCCTGCCCTGACTTTGAGCGGCAGGCCACCCTATGTGCTTTTCTGCTTACTGTCCCCTTGGCTTCTCCCTCAGAGGCAGCAGACACCTCTCCACCTCGCCGCAGAGAACGCCTGGCAGGACATAGCGGAGATGCTCCTCCTCGCTGGGGTGGACTTGAACCTGAGAGATAAGGTATCTTTGCTCCCTCTCAAGCTTTCATGGCTCCCTTTTGCCAGAGCCTGGTTACCAATGCCTCTTCCTTGCTCATTCTCAGAGTATTCCAGGCCTCCCATACTGCTCAAAAGCTACCTCCCCCAGGGTGCCTTCCTGCCTTCCCACCAGCTTCGCCTCTCTCCTCTGAGGTCCCTTGGCCTTGGCTCCAACCTGGCCTGGCCTGGGACTGAGCTGTGGCTATTTCCTGTTTTACAGCCTCCATCAGAGTGTGAGTTCTGTGGGTCATCTGATGGGGGGTTGTAGAGACTAGCAGGACAACTGCTGTCCCCACTGCCCAGCACCTGGTCCTGCATGTGCGAGAGGGTTTGGGGTGGCTACCCCTCATGTGACTAGAAGCCTCAGAAGAGTTGAAGGCTTGGGATGAGGCTTGAGGTTACAGGCTGTGAGGAGAGGCCACTTGCACGTGTCACTCAGCAAGGCAAGCCAAGGATCAGGCTGGACCTGGGAAGGGCTCCCTGCCTGATTTGAGTTGGGCCCTGGGACAGCTGGCCAGATGTGAAGAGCAGCTTCCCATTTCAGCTAGGTCCCTGGAGGTGACCATGCAGGAAGCTGGGCGCCTGTGGGAAGGCAGGCAGGCAAAGCTGACAGGGTGGGCCCCCTGAGAGTCTGATTTCTTCATCTGTAAAATGGTGGGGGCAGGGGGACAGGCCATCACAGGTGAGGTGGAAGAGTTAATGAGGCCTGAGTTTCACAAGCTCCAATGCTTCTAAGTTCTAGAGAAACCCAGGGGCGATCGCTGGAGTTGTTATTATGACTTCATCCTACTGGACTCGCACTCTGGGTCACACAGCCCAGAGAACCTCTGCTCTGCAGTGAGGACAGCTGGAGGCCGGTCGCTTCCTAGGGCAGGAGGGTTTGTGGAGGGACAGAAGGCGCACTGCACCCTCTGTAGAAGCTGCAGCTTCTCTGCCTCTTCCCGGCAGCAAGGAAAAACCCCGCTGGCAGTGGCCGCCCGCAGCAACCACGTCGGCCTGGTGGACATGATCATCAAGGCGGATCGTTTCTACAGATGGGAGAAGGTATGGAGGCCCTGGCGCCGTCACTCTCTCATGTTGGAAAGGGGACAGCCATGTCTCTGGGGGAGCTGGCTTTGAGCTCCAGCCCCACGTGGGTGAGAATCCCTGCCTGTGTGCACCGAGCTTGTTTGTGTGGATCTAGAGATGGGCGAGCACACAGATGTCCTGAAGCAAGGCCAACTCAGGTCCATGCTGCTGGACACTGTTGTGCTCTTGTTTGATGAACGCATGTGTGTGATGCATGCAGCATGGGTGATAAAGAGGTGGCAAGCTGGTTCCATCTCCCCACCATGTCCATGTGGTCGGAGCTGCTGGTTGGGGCCTTGTGTTCAGGTAACTTTCTGGACTGGGAAAGAAAGTGTGTTGGAATTGACTGGTGACATCTGCCACTGGACTTGGGAGAAAAGATATGCAGCCTGTTAGTGCGCTCTTCCCATCAGTGAGTTAGTGAATGCTGGGGAGGGGGAGATGTTGTGTCCTTGAGGGTGTCTTTGTTTTTGTTTTGTTTCGTTGAGACAAGATCTCACTCTGCAGCCCAGGCTGGCCTCCAACTGACCACCCTCCTGCCTCAGAGCACTGAGATTACAGACATGTGCCTCGCTGAGGATGTTTTTATACACAGAAAAGTTTTGCATTTACTTTAGCTTTTAAAATTTATATTACAATTGTTAAGTTACAAATTTTAAAATGTAGCTTTCCTTAAACTTATACATTTACTTTTTTAAACCTTGTAACATCATTTGTGTGTGTGTGTGATCCTGAGGGTCAAACCCCAGGGCCTGTGCCTGCTAGGTAGCGCTCTGTCACTGAGCTATACCCCTGCCCAAAAGTAGTGAATTCTACCAACCATTTTCATTTTCAGAGAAGTCTTGGATTAGCAGTTGGTCCCATGTTTAAACTTAATTGAATAATCTTGCATAGTTGAAACTGAATGAATAAATTTAGCATAGTAGATTTTCTTTTTAAGAATTTCAAATGCTTCCTAAATTCTTTAAATTGTTCTGTTAAAATCCATTAAATTAAACCTATAAATAATCTCAAATCTTTCTTTTTATTTGAACTCAGGATCCTACACTTGCTAGGTACTCAACCACTTTAGTCACTCCGCCAGCCCATCTCAGGTATCTTAAACATCCTAATACAGCTTACAAACTTAGTAAATTTCTCAAACGACATACCAAAAAAAAAGTCACTATTCCCAAATCAATTGATCTATAAATTTCAATAGGAATCATAAGACACTCTCTTTCTCTGATATTCTAGATTGTCTTAACCATTACAACCCCTTCATACATGACAAATTTACCTCAAAACAGTCCAACAATATTAACACTGAGGGTTTGACTGACTCACCTGTGCTCCATTCTCAACCTGTTCAGCTTAAAAGGTCCCTAGCATGACAGTGGCTGTGTGTCATCATCTCCTCTACCCCAGCCTAATTCCGTCAGCATCTCTGGGGGACCAGGCTTCCGAAGTTCCTAAAACTCCCAGGCAGTCCCAGTGTACAAGACAGGCTTGCAGCATCATGACAACCACACTCCCCTGGTCACCACCTCAAGGGTGATGACAAGCCAGAGACTGCTGACCAGGATTTCAGATTTGGAACTGCAGATTACGGGGTGACTTTTAACAACCAGAAATCCATATCTATTCCCTTTAGAGGGGCTTAGGCTTTTGTGGATTTAATTTATGCTCTTGTAACCCCCAAGGTTATCACCTGCCTTGTCTAGAAAGGACTCTGCACTCCCCCCTTCTTTACTTGCTGGGATTCAGCAAGCCTGGTGCTTGGCTTGCCTGGGTTTGACCCCAACTCTTTTTTTCTTTTTTTTTGCAGTACTGGGGTTTAAACTCAAGGCCTAAACCTTGAGCCACTCCACCAGCCCCACTTTTTTTTTTTGTGGAGGATTTTTTTCGAGATAGGGTCTTGTGAACTATTTGCCTGGGCTGGCTTCCAACTGCGATCCTCCTGATCTCTGCCTCCTGAGTAGCTAGGATTATAGGCATGAGCCACCTGCACCCAGCTGGCCCCAACTCCTGAGTTGTCTTGCTGACACCGAGTGCTATAAGAGTATTTGTCTAGCAACACGTGAACTCAAGCACTGCCAAAACAAAGACACAGGGCTCAAGTGGTAGAGCACCTACACAGCCAATGTGGCCCTGAGCTCAAACTCCAGTACTGCCAAAATCAAACAATCCCAAAAAAAGCAAGAACAGAGAGAACAGAGAGAGAGGCCTCTGACCAGAAAAATATCTGGGAAGGCTTCTTGGAGGAAGTGGTGTGGGAGCATTCTTTGACTATAGCAGTGGGGTTGAGGGTCAGAGAGTTCTGGATGGAAGAACAGTGCCAGCAGCTCAGGTTTTAGAAGTTAAGGTGCAGAGTCAGCATGGTGGACACTGAGCTGCAGGCCCAGGCTGGCTCTGGCTCCGAAGTTGCCCATCTTGGCCTGGTGATGGGGCTGCAACCCTGTGTCATCCCGGTCCAAGGTCATGAGGGGGAGCCTGGCAGGGAGTCCCCCAGATGGCTTCTGTACTTTTGGGGTTTGCCCCACAGGACCACCTTTCATGCAGAGACTCCAGCCACCCCTCTGGGAAGAGCCTAACCTTTAAGCAGGACCATCGTCAGGAAATGCAGCAGCTCCGCTCTGTGCTGTGGCGACTGGCCTCCAGGGATCTGCGGCCCCAGGAGTGGAAGAAGCTGGCATGTTCCTGGGAGTTCACCGAGGACCATGTCTACGCCATTAAGCAACAGTGGACAGGTACCACCTTGTCCTACCCCGCCTCAGGGCAACCAGTGGGCAGAGGGGTAAGGGGCCCAAGGTGTGTTCAGGGTTGTGTTTCTGGGGAAAGAGCCTCTGGGAAACCCCAAGCCAACCCATGTGGCTTCCAGCTCAGCACCTGCTCCAGGGCTTTTGCACAGACTTGCCCTGCCTCCCTCCCCTCCCCAGTGACTGTGAATGCCACGCTCTTGTGAATTAGCACAGCTAAACTAAGGCCATTCCTAGTGAAAAGAAGAGGGCCTGCTGTCATCAATATTATTTAATATCTATTTGGAAAATTTGGCTCTGGCACTAAAGCATGAAAAAGAAAAAGAAATAGAAATAAGGAATGTAAACATTGGATGGTTACATTCACAGGTGTCAGGGTTTCCAGACTGCAGGTTGGTGAAATAATTTACCAAGACAAGCAAGTAGGAGAAGCAAGAGGTTTGTTAGCGCACAGAGAAGCAGCAGGTGCTGAGCACAGGGAGTGCTGCTGCTGTGATCAGGGTTGAGACAAATTTATTTATGAAAAGCAAAGCAAAAGCAAAGCGAAAGCAAAGCAGAAGTGCACCCTCTAGGTGGGAGGGTGGACAGACTCAAGAAGGGGTGCTGCACTGGGGGCCCCGAGACCTCAAGCTTTTATTGGGGTCTGTAGAGATGGGGTCCTGGAAAACAGGGTTGTGTGGCATTAACTCTCAGAGGCTGGGCTCCATGTCATCAACTCTACCCATAAATAAAGTAGGGGTGGTGGCCTTGGTTGGTCACACTGGGCTTATTGCTTTTTGGGCTCCAGGGGCTGAAGGTCAGTGAGACTCTGCCATGTGTCACCAAGCCATTCTGTTAACGCCAGCAGTCTAGGATGTGATTCCTTATCAACATCCAAGCCACGGTTCTCAGCCATCAGGTGTTCCAACTCCCTGCTTAGCCCCTATATCAGGAGGAAGCCCAACGGAATTAATCAAAAAAACCTTAGAGTTAATAAAATAGTTAAATGAAATTGCTATGTATGGCAAAACGTACAAACACATAGTATTCCTGTGTATCATCAACAAATGGTCCAAAACTATATAGAATTTTAAAAAAGAGCAAGCTCAAGGCCCTGACTTCAAACCCCAGTACCACTAAAAGAATAAAATTGAGGCCAAGTGCCAGGGGCTCACACCTCTGCTCCTAACGACGTGAGAGACTGAGATCTGGAGGACTGCGGTTCAAGGCTGGCCTGGGCAAAGAAAGACCCCATCTCCTAAACGACCCAAGTTAAATGGACGGATGGGAGGTGTGGCTCAAGTGGCAGAGTGCCTGCTCTGCAAGTGGGAAGCCCTGAGTTCAAACCCCGGTCCCACCAAAAATGAATAAGTAAGTAAATAAAATTAAAATAAAAAATGGAATTGTAAGGATCTGGGCAGTGGAATGGCTTCTGCTTTCTGGTAAGAAAATTATCATTTACATGTATGTCACTTTTCCCCAATTAGATTGAAATGTTGATCCAATCTTAATCAAATCAAAATAAGTTTTTGAAATTTGACCAAAAGAGTTTGCAGTTTGTCTGACAGAATAACAGGGAGAACAGAAATGAATATTCAGCAAGGGGGGAGAGGGGGAATAAAAAGGAGCTAATTCCACTGGACCCAACCATTTAAAAAAATTTAATTTAGTTAATTTTTTTGTTTGTTTTTTTTTGTGGTATTGATGAATGAACACAGGGCCTCCAGCTTGCTAGGCAAGCGCTCTACCACTTGAGCCACGCCCCAGCCCTTGTGTTTGCATTTTGTTTTTGAGACAGTCTTACCACTTTTGAGAGCTGGCCTCAAACTCTTGATCCTCTTGTCTCTGCCTCCTGAGCAGCTTGGATTATGGGTGTGTATCACCACACCTAGCCAGACTCAACCTTTTTTTTTTTTTTAAACTAAAATAATTAACAGAGAAACCTAGCTCAAAAATATGTGAATTGATCCATGAAATAGAGTAGAGTCTAAAAGTAAACTCTATTACAGATGAGAATTTTCTTTTCTTTTGGTGGTGGTACTGGGATTTGAACTCAGCTGCATGCTTGCTAGGCAGCACTCTGCCAGATGAGAATTTTCAGATATGATGAAGGAAGCTTGTGCCTTCTTGGAGTGGGGACAGAGACGATTTAATAAAAGGTGTGAGACAACTGAGCCAAACAAAACTGCCACCAGAGTGTGGGCGGCCCCATGAGGAAGTGCTGCTGAGGGCCCAGAAGAGGCTCAGAAGGCGGTGATGGGCTGATCTGGATGGATGGATGGTGTGGCTGAGCATCTGTCTGCAGTCTCACCACATGGTTTACAAACACGCTAGCTCCCTCCTCCGGGCACACGGTTGTACTTTGGACTCACCTGAGAAGCTTAGAACCGCTCCTGCCTGGGCTCACCCAGACCCAAGGGCATCACAACAAGTGGATGAGCAGCCCCAGGGGCCAGTATTCTCTAGCACTTTCCAGGCATTTCCAGTGAGTGGCTAAGGCTTTGAGCCCCTGATGTGGGAAAAAACAGGACCAGCTGCCTGTCACTAAGTCCCTGTAAAGCAGGGCCCCTCTCCTGCAGGCACAGAGATGAAGCCTGCCATTGTGTGTAACAGCTGGCAATTCCTTCTCTTCAGAGTGACACCCACACAGTGTATGGGGGGTGCTCAGGAGCCTTTCTTTCCCTCTCTCTTTCTCCACAGGCACCAGGAGCCACCAGGAGCACGGCCACCGCATGCTTCTCACTGGCTGCATGGCGTGACCACGGCTGGCGAGGACCCCGGCAAGGCGCTGTTTGAGGGCCTCGTGGGCATCGGCAGAAGGGACCTGGCTGGTGAGAGTTCCTCTGCTCGGCTCTGCTTGGGAGGGGTGGCCGATGGTGGGATGCTGCAGGGCTGTTCAACCAAGATGTGTGACCCTGGCTCTGAACCTTCCAGATTTCTGGTCCTCCCTCTGCCTCCTCCTCAAACCCTGAGGAAGAGAATTGAGCAAGCCATCGTGCATCCTGGCCCAGTTCCCCATCAGCACAGCAAGGTGGTGGTCCAAATGAATCTGACCTCACAGCCACCAAAACCATGGACACTGTACTCTCTCCCTTGCTAGCCCTCTGTACCTTTATGTAATTTTTTTCTGGTTTGGAATAAGGCTAGGGCAGCCTTTAGACTTCGTTTTCACAAACATCAGGAATTATGAGCTGAAACTGGCTTAATAGGAGTTGATCTGATAAATCAGACTTCTGAGGTCATAACCTTCTTCAGTATGCCAATCCCAAAAGCCTGACATGGGATTTAGGGGATGCCCCTATCCCGTGGGACCTTCAGGCAAGCAGGATAAATGGTTCTGGGACTAATTCCTTGTTAAAACCAAAATCTGCTCATGACAAAAAAAAAATCCTCAAACACGGTAATGTGGTGAAACCTACTTGAGCTCTGATGCAACAAGGGAAAACATTTCTCAAATATTATTGAGGGGACAAAAGAAGGCCCCAGGGTGGTGGCTGTCCCAGGACTGCTACAGGCAAGGTGGAAAAACAGTCATTTCAGGGTGGAAGAATTCAGATGGGCTTTTTCCTTTTTCCAGAGTTTTCTTTACTATAGTCACTGTATCTTCTCTTAGTCCAAAGTCTGGGAGCAAATGCAAACAGAGGCCTGTCCTAGGAGGCAGAGCTGCACACTCCAGGCAACAGGGTTCTTGTGTTTTTGCAGAAAGAATCAGGAAGAAAGGAGACGCCCGTCCAAGGGCCTCCGGGAGGTGCACAGCCATGTAAGCTCAAGACCTCAGAGTGGGGTCACCTGAGCAGATGACCATCGACTAAGAGCTTTAAAACAATCACTGTTAACAGACCTCCACCTGCTTCTACTGACACGTCATCGGTTATCCAAGACCAACAGGCAAACGTCTGAGATCTGGCTTGAGGACTGACTGGGTCGGGGCATGTTTACAGGTGACCCTTCCTAGAGTCATTTTCACCTCCTTGATCTTGGAACCTCACCTCCATTTCCTGAGATGCAAGGGACACATCTCTCGCTCCCTCCCTTCCCCTCCCTCTCTTCTCCTCTCCTCTCCTCCCTCCCTCCCTCCCTCCCTTCCTGGGGATTGAATGCAGGGCCTCACGTTTGCTCAGCACACATTCTATCACTGAACCACATAGCCAGGCCCGAGCTCAACAAAACAAAACACACACGAAAAGTATGAACCCTAATGCAAACTATGGATTTTAGTTATAAGTTATCATTATTGGTTCATTAATTGTAACAAATATACCCCACAGATACAAGATTTAGTAATGGGGGATAGCTATGTGGTGGAGAGGAATATGTGGCAATTCTCTTTCCTTCTGCTTTTTTCCAAACATTTCTAAAACCATTCTTAAAAAAATAAAATCTCCTTTAAAAACTAAAGTCATTAAAAGAAAAGAAAAAAGAAAAAGTTTTCAAATCAGCTCAATTCATTGGTAGGCATGGTGGTACACAGCTATAGTCACAGCTATTCAGGAAACTGAGGCAGGTGCTATAGCTTGGATCTCCATCCCAACGTCCCCCAAAGGTCCACATGTTGAAGGCTTGGTCCCCAGCTGATGGCATTGTTGGGAAGGCCTAGTAGAAGGCAATTAGGTCATGGGGGCGTGCTCTTGAAAGGGGTTTCAGGACACTGGGTTTCTTCTTCATTCTCTTTGCTCCCTGGCTGCCATGAGGTGAGCTGGCTCCTCCACCACACGCTTCTGCCATGGCTCACTGTGTCACCATAGGCCCGAGCAACAGGATCGTCAACTGAAACTGTGAGCCAAAATAAACATTTCATCCTTATGAGTTGATTAGCTTAGGTGTTAGTGTGGAAAACTAACACACCAGGTGTTCAAGGCCAACCTGGGAAACATAGCAAGATCCTATCTTAAAACAAAACAAAAACAATAAAGAAGAGTTTGGTGGTACACACCTGCTAGACTCAGCTCCTCTGGAAGCTAAGGTAGGAGGATTTCTGGAGGTCAGCCTCCACTTGGGAAAGGTGTTTCATACCACATGCCACTTAGCTCATTTATCTGAATCAGTTTTACAAAATGGATTTTGTATTTTTTCTGAGACAAAACAAGTTTTTAAATAAAATTGAAATGCTTAAATATTTATCTCTGGCTCGATACTTGTTTTTTTCGTTTTGGAAGCCCAAGATACAATTTCAAGGCAGGCAGGCAGTCCTGGGTTGTTTCTGTGTAAATTCAGCCCCAGCCATAAACAGTTATGGAGCAAGGGCCTTCTGTGTCAGGTGCCTGCACAGAGGTGGCAGCCCATAGCATCTTCTAGAAGCTGGCAGCCTAGTGGAACAGAGGTGCTCAGAAGCCATCGCTGTGATGTTGTGTGACAACCTTAACATTGCTATCTATAATCCATGGGTGCAAAGAACTATGGGGTTTCTTCTTTCTGAGGGAAGGGATCTGGCTGAGAAGCCTGTAGAGGAGTCAGAGTGGGGAAAGGACTGTCCGAGCTAGGAGTGCTCTCTATGCAGAGGCTCAGAAGTGTGATCCATTTAGGAAACAGTGTTTGGAACACCGGGAGCAGGGGAGGGGTGTGTGTGATGGGTACAGAGGAAATGTTGAAATCCAGTCCCTACCCCAAATTTTAAATTTTTGGCCAGGTGTGGTGATACATGACTGTAATTCAAGCACTCAGGAGTCTGAGGCAGGAGGACTGAGAGTTCAAGGCCAGCCTAGGCTACATAGTCAGACTCTCAAAAAACTAAGGGCTGGGTGTAGCTCAGTGGTAGAGCTCTTGCCTAGCTTTTTCAAGGCCTTGGGTTCCATCCTCAGCACAGCAAAATAAATAAATGAAGAATGAATAAAGTAAATAAGTAAATAAATACATGTAAATTGATGTCTCAAAAAAAAAAAACTGAACAGAATAGACTCCTGTTACTGAGCAAGGGCTCACTGTGCAGCCCACATAGAAACCAATATCGTGACTCCAGTTTCTGCAAAAAGAGCTTTACTATAGGACTGACAAGGACACCTGTCTCCCTTGACCCATAGTGGGGGCAGTGGGGACAAGAAGGCCAGTTGAGTGTAACTTGGTGTCTTAGAATGGCCTGCACAGGCCCAGGTAGAACCTGTGGATAATTCAGCTCCATCCTATGTTCCCCACTTCTAATCTAGGTCTGAGAGACCCAGTTCTTGTCCTTCCCTCAGGTTCTGCTGTCAGATTTTGGTTCCACCAGGCTCTCAGCTCTTTTTAGGTCAGGTCTGAGGGTTCTGCGCCTGCATGTTGAAAACGTGACTTGAACAGTTGTGGGGGAGCGGGGAGTGTGGAACCTACCTTTGTCATTTTATGACCATTTTCGCTCCTTCTTTGGAAAGGCACATCTGCCTCACAGAGTGCAGGCAACCTTGCTATTTGTGACCCTCCCTGTTTTAAAAATGTATATTTACATCTTTTTCTGGGCTAGGAAGTAGCTTAGTGGTACAGTGCTTGCCGAGCATGTGCAAGGTCCTGGGTTCAATCCCCAGCACTGCCAAAAAAAAAAAAATGTGTATTACTTTACCTTCCTTTTCAAGGTACATACTTAAAATCTATTCGGATATACTCTGTAAATTTATATACTACAGTAGATTTTCCTCCATTTTGGTCTCAAGATAATTTCTGGAAGGTGTGGGATGGGCTCCCGTGGTCATATCATGTATCACAGTGAACCCATAAAACTCATCTGTTGTGAACTGGGGTGACGGCGTGCATGCCCGGTGAGGACTCAGTGGTTGCTCCCTTCATTTCTTCCTCAGTGCAAGTTTTCAGTAAATGGTGAAAGCCCTATTTCAGGGCTGCTGAACCTGGTTTTATTTCCACACCATTATCCCACGATATTTACAGTCCAGGCTGTGTTCACTGGCAAGTGACAAGCTCAGGTGAGTGTGTGGACAGTGTGGCGGCTAGGAGGGTGGCAGTGGAACCTGTGAGGAGCTACTGCAATGGTCTGGGCAGGAGATGCCAAGGCCTCTGTGGCTGTGAAGGGCTGAGGTTTTGAGGAAGTTTGGTTGGTCTTTGAGAGCTGGATGTGGAGGACGTGGAGAGGTGGTGCTCAGCCCTTCTTTCTTCAGGTTGACCTTCAGCCTAGCTGTTTGTTCTATTTCTCATTTGTGTCCTGACTCTTCTGTGACATTTATACTTTCACAGGTTGTCATGATGGTAGGTATCTTTCTTCCACTTCTGGGTGAAGGATTCCCTTCAGCATCTTTTGTAAGGCTGGTCTGGTGGTTATGGATCGTTAATTGCTTAACTTGGAAGGTCTTTATTTCTCCTTTGATTCTGAAGGATAGGCTTGCTGAACGTAGTAACGTGGTTGGCAATTATTTTGTTTTTTTTTGTGGTACTGGGATTTCAACTCAGGGCCTCATGCTTGCTAGGCAGGCATTCTACCACTTGAGCCACACCTCCAGCCCTAAAAGCTTATTTGTTTTGGTGGTACTGGGGTTTGAACTCAAGGCTTTGCACTGTATAGGTGCTCTATCTCTTGAAACATACCTTTATCCTGGCAGCTATTTTTTTTTATTCATTTATTCACATGTGCATACATAGTTTGGGTCATTTCTCCCCCCTGTCCACCACTCCCTCTCCACCCCCCTCACTTCCAGGCAGGACCTGTTCTGCCCTTATCTCTAATTTTGTTGAAGAGAAGACATAAGCATAATAAAAAAGACAAAGCGTTTTTGCTAGTTAAGGGTAGCTATACAGAGAGATTCCTAGCATTGCTTCCATGTACAACGGGTAGCTATTTTCTTTCAGGACTTGAAATGTATGAGTCCATGCCCTCTGGCTTGTAGGGTTTCTTCTGGGAAACCTTGTGCATTAGTATACTAATAAGTCCTTAAATGTCACTTTATGCTTTTCTTTCTCTTGCAAATTTTAAAATCCTTTCTTTGTCCTGTACTTTTGACAGTTTGAATATAATAGGTCATGGAGCTCTTTTCTGGTCATGTCTATTTGGGGTTCTATAAGCCTTCTGTACCTGAATGTCCATGTCTTTCCCCAAACTGGGGAAGTTTTCTATTCTTTCATTGAGTAGGTTTTCTATGTTTTTATTTCTTCCCCTTCAGGTATGCTGATGAGGCAGACATTTGATCTTTTAATAGTGTCCCAAAAATCCCAAATGCTATGTTCATTATATATTTTTGTTTCAGTCTGTGTTTTCAAAAAAAACCTATCTTCCAGCTCTGATATTCTTTCTTCCACTTGATCTAGTCTGTTGCTGAGGCTTTCAAATGAATTTTTAAATTTGATTTATAGAGCTCTTCATTTCCATGATTTCTGACTGGTTCTTTTTAAGAATCTCTACCTCTCTGTCGTTATTTCTTATTCATGTCCTGCACTGTCTTAATTTCATTTCACTCTTATCTGTGTTCTCTTGAATTTCATGGTGCTTAAAAAAAAAAATCATTCTTTTGGAGTTTGCAGAGTGGCTTAAATGGCAGATTACCTGCCTAGCAAGCATGAGGCCCTGAATTCAATACCACCAAAAACTGCTTTTGAACTATCAGTGGATTTCTTCATCCACTAAGATATCTTTGGAATCCTTTGTTTAGAACTTTCTGAGGTGTCACAGTGCCTTGTTTTTCTGTACTTATTGCATGTTTGTTGTGTTCCTATGTTGAGATTTGTGCATCTGGTAAAATGGGTATCTCTACCACTTTTATGGGATGGCTTTCTTAGTAAGCTATTTTCTCCTAAAGATGTGTTTTGAGGGTTTATCAGTTGTTATGCAGTGGTGGACACTACAGGGTAATCTCCCTATAGCTTCTTTGGCTGTTTTGGTGAGGGTGGGCACAGTGCATACTGTGTGGAGTTGGAGACTCACTGACTGCAGTTTGCACAAGAGTAGGTTCACTCTAGCAGTTCAGGTAGGTGTGGTGTAAGATAGCAGAGTTTGCACCTTGTGCTGTTAATCCTACAGTTGGAGTGGTGCATCCTAATGGATTATGGGGTTTTCCTCAGACACTGTTAATTACTGGCTCTGCTACTTAAAGGGGGTATCTGGTACTGGCTGAATGAGTAGTGATGAGGGTCCTGAAGCTCTTGTCCTTTGATTAGACACTGGTGTAGTCCAGGTGTCTTCATGGGGAAAGGTGAGAGCAAGAATTACAGCTCTATCTCTGTGGCCCTCATACTCAGTCTTGTCAGCAGTGCAAGACTGGATAAGGTGTGGAATGTCAGACACACACACACACCCAGCTATGCACACCTGGGGATGGGGTGACAGCCTAGGGCTCTTCTCCCCCAACCTTGATTCATTTGTTGTGCCCACCAAGGACCAAGTTGAAGTGGGTCATGGCTGTAGCCTGGTAAAATTCCTCATAGTTGAGGTGCTCACAGGAGGAAGGGAGAGCAGAATGTGTTGTCTCTCGGGCAAAATGTCTCTAGACCTTAGGCTATGCACTTCTGGGTGTGGCAACAATGGGGCCATGGGAGCATTGCTTGAGTCCCCTGTGGGCAGGGGAGCAGTGAAAAAATCAGAGTTCCTTCTCCTCCCTGGTAGTAACAGGTATTCATGCCCAATGGGTTGGAGAGAGGTGGTAGTAACCACACAGGCAACAACCCCCAGGCCTGGTTCCCCTGGGAAACCACACAACTGGCAATGTCCTCGGTCTTCAGAGGGCAGGCTTCCCATCCCTTGGTTCTTGTGGATGGCACTATCTGCTTTCCTCTGTGTTATAACACCCCTTCCCTACTACACAGTACTCTGAGGGGGTCTGTGTCAGTCATTCCACTGAGTCAAGCTTGGCTCATTAGGAAGGCACCCACTGAGCCAGTGCAGTGGAGTGAGTGTCTAGGTTCCAAACATGGGAATGTGCAGGGTTATCTACCCCTTGAGCAATCCAAATTCAGACAATGGGTCCTTTCTCAAGATAGCTCCTGGGAAGAGCACACTGGGGGTTCGCTGGGAGATGAAGTGAGTTTTGCAAACTCAGACTACTGTGCAGATTTCAGGCTGAAAGTCTGCAGGGCCATGAAACTTTCCCATAATCAGGATTGCAAGCATCTGTACCATAGAGTTTGCTGGGACTCTTTCTTTTGCCTTTACTCCTGTAAAGGGGAGAATCCCCCTGACTGTGGAGCCAGGAGGCAGGTATTCTACCACTTGAGCCACACCCCAGCCTATTTTCTCTATGTGTGTTTACAAATTGAAGGCAGGTAAAGTACCTGGCACATAGTAGCAAAACTATAAACAATAGCAACTGTTATTTTACCAGAAGCCAACTGTGCTTTAGGGAGATTAAGTTATTTACCCAAAGTCACACAGAACTGGCAAAAATGATGATCTCTGTTGCCCAGACAGCAAAGAAAAAAATTACAAAGGTCATTCACTGAAATTGAATTTTTATTCCAAATAATGTCTAGAAAGACAACAGCTAACACTCAAAACAATGTGCTTAGCTGGAAATGAAAAGTGGTTGATTTGTAGTAGAGTGAACAGCAGGGTGCTAGCGTTGGCACTCTCATAATGGTTATGCCAAGAATGCATAATAATGATATGTAACATAAAAAGCAAGAGGATAGCAGGAATGGGAAAGAAAAGAGAAAATCCCACAAAATCCCAAACCTCAGAAACTAGCATTCACTTAAGAACACAGTGGTAAAGATTTCTGGTAGCAAAATTTTCATAATTCTTAAAATGAGTGTCTTCAAAAGTACTTCTTTAAACTTAAAAGCCAAAAAACCAAAGAGGGGACAGTCACACTGGCTTAGGAGAGCTGCTGCCTGTCACGAAGATGAAACCAGTCCTTCTTCCAACACAGTGAGAGCCGGTGAGCCTGACGAACCTGAAGGAGGCCGACTGGTGGGGGGCTGATATGGACTGTAGGAGAGCACGCTGGTCACCTGTCACCAACAGCCAAAGCCACATCTATTGCTCCTCCTGGCTGGCGCTGAGGTTGCCCTTCTGCACTTCAAGCTCTTCAGCGCTGACCATTGACGGATCAATGGCGGCATATTTGGTTCCATGGAACTGCAGCAAGTGTATCTGTAGAAATGCAGAATTATTATTTCTTTGTGGTGCTGGGGATGGAATTCAGAGCCTTCATCATGCTAAGCAAGTGCCCTACTACTGAGCTACACTCCAGCCCTGACTCATTATTTTTAATGGCTGCCTCATTTCAAAACAAAAAAGTTTACTGCATTATATAAAAAACTTGTTAGGAAAACATTACCACAGTAGATAAATGTTTTTATTCTAAAATTAGAGTAATACAGACTAATTAGAGAAAAACTGATAAACACAGAAAAGTTTTTTTTTTTTTTTTTTACAGCATCTTACTATGTAACCCAGGCTGGCCTCAAACTTATGATCCTCCTGCCTCAGCCTTCCAAGTGCTAGGATTACAAGTGTGCTCCGCCAAAGCCCACCAAAATATTTTTAGAACCACAACATAGGACCTTTGTTACCACATTGCTTTTTTTGTAAGCCGTTTCTCATGTTCCTACAAGGTCTCTCATTTTTTTTGGTGTTAGTGGGGTTGGAACTCAGGGCCTTGAGCTTGCCAGGCAGATGCTCTACCACTTGAGCACTGCCTCCAGCCCTTTTTACTTTCATTATTTTTTGAATAGGATGTTGCTTTTCTGCCCATGCCGCCTGGACCACAATCCTTCTATTTATATTTCCTGCATAGCTGGGATTGTAGGCAGGTACCACACCTAGCTTTTTATTCGTTGAGAGGGTCTCAGGGGCTTTTTGCCCAGGCTGGCCTCAAACCAAGATCCTTCTGATCTTCATTTCTCAACTATAGGTGTGAGCCACCATACTCAGCTCAGGGTCATCTTAAATGGCTGCTTGCTGCTCCACAGCAGAATGTCACCCTTCTTCTATTGCTGCGAGTTAGGTCTTTCCAGTTTTCTGATACTGTGATTAATTCCGTGATGAACAGCTCTCAGCATTGGTATTTCTATGTTTAGGATCCTACCCTAAGGATCTATTTCCACAAGTGGATAAAGAGATCAAAGGGTGTGGCTTGCTTTGTAAAACTCTGCAATCACTTGTCATTGCTATTCTAATATCCCTGTAAGTAGAGGATGAAGAAATGGTTTTGTTTTTCAGTTCTAACACATTAAAATTAGATCAAGAAGTCACTTCATGAGGCTCAGACTGGCCTCATTTAGGCCTGGTGTCTGCTCTGGCTGAATTCACATCACACCAATGGCCAGCACAGCTGTGGAAGCAGACCCACTGTTCTAGAAAAGGGGATGGTAGGCAGTCACCCAGGGATCTCTAATAGTATACTGTGCGTTCTCCTGTAATGATAAACATAAACCACATTTATCAAGTCAGTGCCTCATTCTGACAGAGACTTCTGCCATTCCCTTACTTAACCCACTATCTAAAACACAAATTTTTTTTGTAGTTGTTACAAACTGAGTTTTGAGTTCAAAGTGCTCTGGATTCCAGGCTGTGACTCACCTGCACGTAGAGATTCACCTCTGCACTTCGGCACAGGTAAGGGAAGTTGCCACCTGTTTTAAGGTGAGCTCTCCGGGCGTTAGGATACAGTTTGTACATTTCTTCCTTAGCTTCAGTTGAAAGGGCGCTCTGGTCAAACACCTTTGAAGAAACACAAGGCCGAAACCTGCCGCATTTTAACAGATTCTTTTCACAGTAAGGAATGTGCCACCCCAAGCATTGCTTTCTCACAAAGAGATACGTGGAACTCCAAAGCAGCTTGAGCCACCTCCCAATGTGGATCCCTGGTCACTTCTAACTGCAACCTAATGGTCTGGGGATGGGTTTGCCTAGTGTGATGCCCTGGCACCAAAACAAAACAAAACAACAACAAAAAAACCCACTAACTCCAACCTAAGCCTTTGGCTACATATTTTGCTGCCAAATGTTTCTTGCATTTTTTCTTTTTTTTTTTTGCCTGTGGTAACTGGGGATTAAACAGCGGCCTTGCATGTGTGAGGCAAGTGCTCTACCACTTGAGCCCTCAGCTCTTTTGTTTTTTACATGAGGTCTCTTCAGCTTTGCCAGGCTGGCCTCGAACTCATGATTCTCCTTATTCCACCTCCCAAATAGTTCAAATTACAGGCATGAACCACCATGCCTGGCTTCTCTTGAATTCTTTGGGGGCGAGGAAGACTCCTACCATGGATCTCCTTAAATATAGCTAATTAGATTAACAGAATATTAAGTGAGCAATCACTGAAATGCCAACTAATTTTTTAAAAAGATTATGAAAAGAACTTTTTATCATTACTTAAAAAGTTACATAAGTCATATGTAGTCAGTGAAAAAATTCCAAAGGGTATTTTTAAAGAGTGTAAGGTAAAAATTCCAAATCTTTTCTTGGAGTCACCTTCTGCAGTGTGGAGCACATGACTCCAGGTATCTTTCAAAGGCTGTACAAACCTATCTTTTAACATACCTGCAACAAAGTTTTTAAAATTAAGCATATATATGCTCACATATAATTTATAGATGCAAAGAGTTTTAAGTGCACCTCCAACTAAAACTTGTAGACAGTTCTCAGTGACCGTGAACCCAGCTGTGAAAGAAAGGCAGGCTGAGCAAATGCACCGTGGGGACCACTGAAAACTTGCTTGGCATCTTGGCATCATGGTAAATGTCAGAGTGCTGCAGTTACAAGTTGTTTCCAGCTGACAGTGGCTCATGCCTACAATCGTACCTACTCAGGAGGCAGAGATCAGGAAGATTGTGGTTCAAAGCCAGCCCAGGCAAATAGTTCTCATGACCCTAATCAATAAACCCATCACCAAACCCTAGTACTGCCAAAAAAAAAAAAAAAAAAAAAACAAAGAAAAAGTTGTTTGCATGTTTATAATGAGTAATTTCCTGACAAAAATTATTCTTAAAAATAACCTATTATTTGAATTTAGGAAAAAACATACTTATGAAGCAAGTAAGTTGGAGCTGCAGGGGTAGATTACTGTGTGCTCAGCATACATAAGGCCCTGGGTTCAATCCCCAAGAAAAGGAACTACAATGAGCTACAATGAGATACCACTTCACATCCATTGGGATTGCCATTATCAAAAAGCAGAAAACAGCTGGGTGCTGGTGGCTCAAGCATGTACTCCCAGCTACTCAGGAAGCAGAGATCAGGAGGATTGCAGTTCCAGGCCAGCCTGGGCAAATACTTCACAAGACCCTTTCTTAAAAATAATCAACATGAAACAGGGCTGGCAGGGTGGCTCAAGCAGTAAGAGTACCTGCCTGCCAAATGTGAGGCCCTGAGTTCAAACCCCAGTGCCACCCAAAAAAAAAAAAAAAGAGGCTAAATTGGTAAATTTGTTAAACTTTTACTACAGTTAAAAAAAAACAAAGGTCTGGGGATGTAGCTCAATGCTACAGGGCTTCCCTGGCACTACCAAAAACCCACGAGCTATTGTGCAAATCGACTTTATGGTATTCTTTTTATTTGCTTTTTCTCAGTACTGGGGTTTGAACTCAGGCCCTCACTCTTGCTAGGTTGGTACTCTTAACACTTGAGTCACTCAGCCAGCCCAGGCTGGCTTTGAACCTCGATCTTCTTGACTGCTGCCTCCTCAGTAGCTAGGATTACAAGTGTGAGACACCAACACCCAGCTTGGAATTCTTGATTCTCTGCCCTTGTGAGGCAACTTCTCTTTGCTACTTAGGGCTGTAACACCTAAGATATAGCATCTGTTGATAAGAACACTAAAAATACCAACATGGGGGCTGAGGGTAGAGCTCAGTGGACAAGCACTTGCTAGTATGTGCCAGGTCCTGGGTTTGATCCTAGCACCCCAAAAAGAAAAATACAATGGAATGGGTGAAGACTTTCATGCTTGTTTAAATACCATTATCTGAATAGTGTGACTCCTGGCAGGAAAAATCCAGGATGAGCAATAACGTTATTTTGGAATTGAGAAAGCTTGGGGTTAAGAACAAAAGCCAAAGCAATATATGAAGAAGCAGACTTTAAACTGTAAAGTAGCACATGCATGTCAAAAAGCGGAGCATTTAACTTGAAAGGAAGCTTACATCCATAATGGTTACAGGGATGTCCCGAATTTTATGAGGCTCCACGTATGAATTCTGACAATTCAGGGTAAGTCTTGAAGCCAGTTCACTCTGACCCAAACTTTCCAGCTGCAGGAAGAAATAGAGGTAAGGTTTGTGAAATAATTTGTTATGTTTGTGTTAAATCCTGCAGGCAACATGTGTGCTTATAAAGGTGGTTTGATGTATAGCGAGGCCAGAAAATTCACCTTGAGGAAATACAATGAATTTGAGAGACCATGCACTGGGCCTCTCAGGTGGTGGCCTTTTTCTGTTTTGGAAGCTGGTCTTCTACAGCCCTCAACCTAAACTGCCTGCTTCCAACCAAGGGCAGAGCAAGCCAATTCAGCTTGTCAAAGATGACAAACATTTAAGAGACTTTTGAGCTGGAAGAAAACCCAGAATTCACCCGTCCATTAGTTCCCAAATGTGAGTCTGCAGACCAAGTTCAGACTGGTTCATCACTTTTACTTGAGAGGTAGTGGAGACCACAGCAGTAAAAATACAGACTCCAGCAGGTGTGTTGCTTACACATGTAATCCCAGCACTCAGAAGGCAGAGGCAGGAAGATTGAGTTAGAGCCCAGTCTAGGCTACAGAGAGAGACTCTGTCTCAAAAAACCAAAACAACAACAAAATAAACCAGGTTCCCAGATCCCAAGCCCAAAGGATTCCAGATGAATTGTCTGGTGTGAGGCCTTGGGATCTATTTTTTTTTTTCTTTCTTTTTTTTGCTGCGATAAAGTCTTGCTATGTTGCCCAGGCTGGCCTTGAATTCTTAATCCTCCTGCCTCAGTCTCAGACAGACATGAGCCACTATGCCCAGCTTTTAAATTTTTTAATTTGTTTTAAACATATACATATATAATATTATACATATTAATGTGGTAGCACAATGTTTCAATGGATGGATACATTTGGCAATGTTTCAATCAGGTTAAGCACAGCCATTGCCTTAAGCATTTATTGTTTATTTATGGTAAAACCTTTGGAAATCTTTTCTTGTAACTTCCTGAAATGTATAGAGCATTACTGTTAACTACAGTTGCCCTGGAATCTGCATTTCATAAGTTCCCATGTGACTGTGATGAACTGCTATTGGGAGGTACTAATGTAGCTAAACCCTTCCCAGCAGTGTTATCTGTTTGGAAGTATGAAAGTTAACACAGAAAATTGCTTAATGAAGCCAACACATACTTAATAAAAATAAGAACAATGTATCTTCTTTGAAGTAATGTGAAAATTCCCAGTACGAGGTGTTCCCATGCGAGTGCCACCATCCTTACCCTGTCCACCATGAAATCAATGGCATCAGCCATCATGGGATCCACTGGGCCAGACGAAAAGTTTCCAAGAACGATTTTTTTGAGCATAAATGATGGCATCAGCCAAAAGCTGTAAAGCAAAGGCAAAGATCTGGTTATTCAAACTTCCAGACTACACACAAATGGCAAATATTCATTCAACACTAGAACTCTGTAATGCTATGTACTTGCAATCTAGGGATAAAAAGACCTCCTCCCTTCACAGAGCTCAGAGTCTAGTGTGTATGACATCTTCCCAAGCTCTCAAAAGAGCTATGGCTTAATTAAGCTCCCTTTCCTTTCCCCATTTCCTTCTTCTTTTCCTTTCCTCCTTCCCCTCCCCTTCTCTTTCCTTTCCTTCCTTCTTCCTTTCTTTCCTCCCTGCCTTTCTTCCTTTCTTTCTTTATGGGATTGTGGTTTTGAAATGTACTTTTTTATTTTTTTTTTGGCGGTACTGGGGTTTGAACTCAGGGGCTACACCTTGAGCCACTCCGCCAGCCCTTTTTTGTGATGGTTTTTTTTTTTTTTTTTTTTGAGATAGGATCTCTCAGACTATTTGCCCAGGTTGGCTTCCTCCTGAGTAGCTAGATTACAGTGGTGAGCCACCAGTGCCCAGCAGAACTGGGGTTTTGAAAACAGGGCTTCACGCTTGCAAAGCAGGCACTATAATACTGAGACACTCCTCAGTCCACTTTGCTTTGGTTATTTTGAAGATGGGGTCTTGCAAACTATTTGCCTGGTCTGGCCTCAAACCACAATTCTCCCAATCTCAGCCTCCCAAGGAAAGGTAGGATTATAGATTTGCCACCAGCGCTGGGCTTAATTAAGCTTTTCAGGATTTAGAATGAATATTAAGTATTTCAAAATCCCTTCATTAAGGTAGACATTCTGATTCCAAGATTTTTTTCCCCTTCTTTCTGGAAGTACTGGGGTTTGAACTCAGAGCCTCATACTTGCTAGGCAGGCACTCTACCGTCTGAGACATGTCCCCAGTCCTCTTTTGCTTTAGTTATTTTTTAGATAGAGTCTTGTAATTTTGCCGGGGGCTGGGCCTCAGACAGGGATCCTCCTGATCTTCGCCTCTCGAGTAGCCGGGATAAGACTTTTTTTCCCCCTAATTGGCCTTCTTTCCACTGGTTAACTATTTCCTTTGGAAAACTGAGCATTAAAAAGAAATATTCCTAAACTGGGTGCTGGTGGCTCACACCTGTAATTCTGGCTACTCTGGAGGCTGAGATCAGGAAAATCAATGCTCAAGGTTAGCCCAGGCAAACAGTGAAACCCCATCTCCAAATAACCAGAGCAAAATGGACTGGTGGTGTGGTGCAAGAGGTAGAGTGATTGTTTTGTGAGCATGAAGCCCTGAGGTCAAACACCAGTCCCCCCAACCCACAAAAAACCCCTAGAAATATTCCTTCCTCTGACTGATAACACCTTTTGTTATTTCAAAATACCAAAATGAAAGCTACATTACCTCCCCAAATTTGCGAATTTTAGATTTATTTGGACTAATTTAAGAAATTCAATCTTTATGGATTTCTATATGTGATCTTTAATATTTATTCTATGAGTTTCAAATACCAAGAGCTATCATGGAGGGTAAACACCACTTTCTCTAAATCTATGCTGAATAATAAAAGGTGCAGACCACTTTCTGATGTTTATTCTTACTGGAACAGCCTTGCTGCAAGTTGAGCTTCCCTCAGAAGGGCTACTTGGTTACCTTCTGGCTAACTTTTTAAACTTTGTTCTCTCCCACCCCCATGGCTTTCCTATCTCTTAAAGCTGATGATGTCTAAGCACTCAGTGAGGGATAGATCTTGTTGGCTTTGATCACCTTTATCCTTAGTGGACCCAGCATTCAGATACTTGATAAAAAGTAGCTAATGCTGGGTGCTACGGCTCATGCCTGTAATCCCAACTGCTTGTGAGGCAGAGATGAGAGTACTGTGATTCTAGAACAGCCTGGGGAAAAAGTTAGTGAGACCCTGTCTCAAAAACAAGCTGGGTTTCACAAATTTCTAACTACTTTGTAACTGCATGACTTAATCTGGTGATAAAAGCAGTTATTAAAAGCCTACCTTTTTAATCAATTAAAAAAAAAGCTGCCATGGTGGTGCAAACCTGTAATCCCAGCTACATGGGAGGTGGAGGTAGGAGGATCAAAATCCGAGGCTGTCCCGGACAAAAGCATGAGACTCTATCTGAAAAATAACTAAAGCAAAAAGGACTGGGGGTATGGCTCAAGTGGTAGAGTGCATGCCTAACCAAGTGCAAGGCCCTGATTTTAACCCCTCCCCCCCAAAAAAAGAGTAGCACAAACAAAGCAGCAATTCTTGGCATTCTGACAATTAGAATAATCCAAATCATCGAAGAGCTTTAATGCACCCTCTGAACATAAGAAACTGTATGAATCATGAATGCTGAGGAAATAAACTACTGAACAATCAAGGGTTTTTTTTTTTTACTGTTTTATTATTCATATGTGCATACAAGGCTTGGGTCATTTCTCCCCCCTGCCCCCACCCCCTCCCTTACCACCCACTCCGCTCCCTCCCTCTTCCCCCCACCCCCTCAATGCCCAGCAGAAACTATTTTGCCCTTATCTCTAATTTTGTTGAAGAGAGAGTATAAGCAATAATAGGAAGGACCAAGGGTTTTTGCTAGTTGAGATAAGGATAGCTATACAGGGAGTTGACTCACATTAATTTCCTGTGCATGTGTGTTACCTTCTAGGTTAATTCTTCTTGATCTAACCTTTACTCTAGTTCCTGGTC